TGCATGCTCGTTGGTTAAGAGTACTTTTAATTTCGCCCTTCTTCAATATGTCGCCAATCTGTTCGCTATATATATCACTCGAAAATTAGGTATTAGTAAGGTAAAACACAACTGTCGTTCAGTTACAGTGTTCTAATAGTAGTAACCCACTTTGCCTATCTCGGGTTCGGAGAACTACAAGTGATATAATTGTATTTCAAGGACAATCCCACGCCATACAACCAGAATGTCTCACTGCCAATGTCAGTGTATTTATCAGCAGGAAACATTGATACATGATAGGCGTTCATATTCAGCCGATCTGGCGAACATAGCTAAAGTCTTTTAATCATTGTAGTCTTTTCACTAGTCGTCGTATAAGCCCTATCACAATAGGGGATGAGCCTATTGCCATAGAACATTCATTATATGCAGATTTAGTAAAGGAACTGCTACTTATGCTCTAAAATACCATGCTTAAGTGTGGGAGAGCCATGCTTCGGCACGAATGGGCCGGCTCGACCGGAGTGATACCACGGCCTCACAGAACACCGACGTGAAACAACGCTTGCGTTGTGTTTCGTTGTGTGAGTGAGGTTACCGGAGGCCCAGCTCCCTCCCCCCTCTCCCCAATCTCCCCAATACCCGAATCTCCACCAATCCTCAAACTCCTAATCCCCAAAAGGCCGGTATCGCACTTGTAACGCTTCTGGTATTCCAGGTGTCCATGGGCGACGCCGATTGCTTACTATCAGATGATCCATCTGTACGTTTACGGCATATGCCATAAAATAAATGCTGAAAGGCGTTCTATTGAGCATGCTCAAAAATGTTCAAAAATTGAACGCCTGTCGATTTGCAAGCGTTCCCGAAATGAACATGCTAATCTTGAGCAACATTCCGACACACATGCTACTAAGAGACAAAAATGCTCAATCGAAGCATGCTTTCGTGCTTGAAATCAGCTTGTGTAACAGTATATGTATGTGTCACCTATTTTAGCGTATGAAATAAAACTATTTCCTTCTCTTTCTTCTCTTTCTTTCTTACCTTAAAGGTAAAATGAACTCGGACCATTTCTTATTTCGTGCACAATCCCTAACGTACCTAGGTAAATAATAAATGCTGTTGCGTGTCAAGTAACTGGGTTAGTATGCTACTACTTAAATCCTGAACTAAACTGTTGAGTCCAAGTTGTTGTTATCGACCGACTTGACGATGTTTTTATACAATATCTGTTAGTAATAAATGATTACTTTCATCCGTCTCGTTGATCCATTGATTTATAACTAAACAACGATGTAATCTCATTCTTGATTTTCATGTTTAGATTCCTGAATCAAAAATAAAAAATATTCAATCTATCTCTAGGTGAGAAAACTTTATTTTTTTTATTTGATAAGCCGGTAAACGAGCAGACGTATCACCTGATCGTAAGCAATCGGTGTTGTCCATTGACGCCTGGAACACCAGAGGCCTTACAAGTGCGTTATCGGCGCTTTGGGGATTAGGAATTAGAGGATTCTTGAGGATCCAGGGATTGGGAGATTGGGGAAAGGGGGGGGGGGAATTTGCTTCCGGTAGTTGTTTCACGTTGGTTTTCTGTGAGGCCGTTGTATTATCGTCGCTGTCCGGTCGAGCCGGCCCATCGGTGCCGAAGCATGGCTCTCCCACACTTAAAATTACTACGAGTCTATAGTCCATCTGTTTAGGTAATTAACTAAAGGTAAACAAAGAAAACCACGTGACACAGAGATACTTAACCTACTATTACTTCAAATATTTCTCGTGTTTTAATTTTAACTAAATTCACTTTAAAATCGTTTATTTGTCATACACACACATACAAGTACAAATGCATAAATCGTACAAGAGCCTAGCCTATGGGTCTATTTCATTATCATGTTTAAATAGAAACTATTCTGAATCTGATGCACGGATTTCTTTCTTGTACGGATATGTGTCTTTGGGCCAAGTTTCTTCAATATATTTGAACACATTAATTACAAACGATGTATACCTAAACTTAAATAACTTAATAACAAAAACAAAACAAATAAACAAGATAAATTCAACAAAATAGGAACGCGAGCGCAAACGACGAGAGAGCTGTCAATGGCGCCTGATTAACCGACTAAACGTAATACACGCTACTTTCATTGTCGCGCTACATCTTAGTTCTACTCTTTAATTTGACAACATTATTTTGCTTCGTTCTTAAAGAAGGGTTTTGGATACCTGGGATTTTAGGCTCTTTATGGTGTCTATTGTAATGTAATGTTATATTATTTAATAAATGTTATTAAAATTAATATCCTCAAGCAGATATATATATAATATTTACTAAGAAATAAGTGAAAAGGAACAGAAACATAACATGTAATAGAGAAAACTGTCGTAAAAAGGGAAACAATTTTATTTTCTTATGAAGTATTTTGAATCATGGAAATGTCAACTATAAAGAACTCTTTTTATGGTTTGTTTACAAATAGTTAACTACCTAAACAGACGGAGTATAGGTACATATGTATGATTGTTAAACCAAGTAAGTTTTAAAAGAGATCCGACAGTCCTTTTTTACGGGATAATTGAGTTGATCCATGGAATGAAATGGTTTCAGTAGGAGTAGAGAGCTTGTAAAATCAAATTCTCGATGATGATTGTTATGGTATTTCAGCCTTCATCAATAAAGACAATTACAACATTTATGTATTATGTAATTCCATAGACACAGTAGCCAATAGACATCATCTAATTATGTTATGTTTGGTCCTCAATTTAGACACGTGCAAATTAATTCAAACACCAGATGTAATGACGTCGGTACTTTATTACGAAGCGACACGAACAATACAAAAAAATCTACACATGTTACTAATTTATTCAATAAACGTAGACATAACATCGCGTTTATCGCTATTTAAGGGGTTAGTACAAATCATGCAGATGGTACTTACACTTTTTGTTTTGTAAAATTAGACGAGCCATGCTTAATACTCCTCAATCCTTGAATCCCCAACAATCCTGAAATTCCTAATCCCCAAATGGCACACTTGTAACGCCCATTGCTTGTTATCAAGTGATCCGTCCGCTCGTTTATCGGCCTTATCCCATAAAAACTACTACCTACCTACGCCAAAAAACATTAGAGTTGATAACTCTGTATCATTTCCCCTAACTCTTCCCTTTGCTTTGCAGTGTCGCCCACCAAACCCTAACTAACATATAAATTACTTTCCGATGAATCACTTGACGTACCAAAGAACACTTCATAGAATTCCATTCATGCATTAAAATCATACAGAAGTTTCAAAACAAAGCCACCCAACGAATTATTACACCGAGATCCCCGCCTGCCCCCTGCCCACTATGAGACAGGAAATCATACGTCATACAAAAACTTATAGAGTGGGGACCGGACGTTGCAAATACCCTGGCTCAATCACTTATGGTAAATCATAAAAAAGTCCAACGATTAAACAATGAGGATTTGACAAAGGTTATATACCGAGCGCGCCAGCAAAAAGCACAAACCAACATACTTCTGAATTTGTATTATATATAACTTCGTGAGACATACTAAATAAATTATTATGTTTTCGGCTTACTCACGTAATTATTTGACGAGGACCTCGACTAGTTTAGACGGCGACTGTCGCCGCGTCGCGGGTCGCGAAATGCTGCTCATGAATATGAGCCTCTAGCATAACTTGAAACTAGTTGAGTTCCTCGTCAAATAATTACGTGAGTAAGCCGAAAACATAATAATTTATACTTCTGAATGTCCCATACAGAGGGCAGATTGTAGTCAAAGTCAAAGTTAAAACATTTATTTCAATTAATGCTTAATTAGGCACTTTTGAAACGTCAAAAATTGAATTGTCTGTCCGTCTGTCTGTCAGTGAAGCTAGGCGCTCGTTCTAAAGTGTAATAGGTAGATATAGAATTATATACAAAAACATGGAAACCCTTGCAACTCCTAAACCCTTGTAACCAGAGCACTAGAGCAATCAAATAAACCAGGCAGTGAGCAAACATAACATTGATTGAGACAATAAGACTATTATTAGATGTGTCGTCAATGTCTGATTATTACTAATTTCAGTATACCTCCTTACAGTTAGGAATGCATAAACATTTTACTAAGAACTAGCAAACCCGGCGAACTCCGTTTCGCCACCAGATGGCTTCGTTTTATGTAACATTTTGTTTGGTGATTAAAAGTGATTTTTTTTACTATAAACCTCACGGAGCCCGAGACCTTTCTAACAAATCAAAAACCGAAGAAATCGGTTCGTGCGTTCTAGAGTTATAGCGTCAGGAAGGAAAACCCGACTTATTTTTATATAGTAGATTATTTCCAATAACCAATCTTGAATAAAACAAACGATATTATGGTCATTACAATACCATGGCCTTTTCTATAATCGACTAATTGTAAGCAATTATTGTCACCAGTAAATTGCACTTTGTAATTATGTTCTTTCTATCAACCTTTAGTCAATGAAAAGTAATTTGCAATCTTATAACATTTTATCATTCCTTCCATAACTAGCTTTTACCCGTGGCTTTGCCCGCATATTCCTGTTTTATCTCATGGGACCATTTAATCGGGATAAAAGTATTCTATCACCTAAGTCAGCCCATACCTATTCAATAGTTTCAGCGTGATTGACGAACAACCACCCAAACAAAGAAACTTTCATAATAATTTGATGTTGTGATTTGATAAAGTATTACTGGGTTTTTAAAAAATTCTCAGTTGTAGCACTGAGTCTGGAATTGTGCCCGGTATATGGAAATCGGCTCACCCCCTATTACATAGGCCTCATAACATAAATAGTGAGAAGTGACATTGTACAGTGGCATAATGTACACCTCTGCCTACCCCTTCGCGGAAAAAAGGCGTGATGTTGATATGATATGTGATTTTCACAAAATTTTCACCTACCTATGTGAAAATTAGAAAAGTTTTCTGTTAGTATGTAGTGAAAGGCTTAATATTATTATTTTTGTTCCAGGACTAGGATGGTACAATATCAAATATTGTCTAATATTAGCTACGTTCCTGATATCTGCTATCGTGGAACCAGTAGGTTACTCCTTCGTGCTACCAGCAGCGATGTGTGATCTGGACATGACTGACGCACAAAGAGGGTTTATCGCATCAATACCTTACATAGGTAAGTCAAAACTGTAAGAAATCGATGCAGTATTTTTTATGAGATATATGACGAATTAACTTGTGGTATGTAAATAGGCGCCATCCATGGACCAACTCCAGAGTCATAAGTGCGTTACCGGCCTCCCATATCCTTACTCACACAGTAGGAGTTTATTTAGGCGGTTATGGTGTTCTCACGTTTCCACTCTAGAATTCAAGAATATTTATAAACAAAGGTGGATTTTCCAGCCACTTGAGAGCCCATGATAGACGCCAGTAGTCAAGAAACGGACGTCGTAGCCGAAACCGACATATATATGTATATGTTACGGCTAATACCCGAAGTGAGGCCACGCCTACTTTTAACCGGCTAGAACTAGGTGTAGCCAAGTACTCTTGGTAAACTTAGTACGAGCCTATTGTTTTCAGGTAAAACTGGGTCTAGCCTTCATCATGCCGGCTACAACTAGGTCCAGCCATTCCCTGTTGGATAAAACTAGGTCTATCCGATATCATTCCGGCTAGAATTAGGCTTCAGCCAGCCAATTAATTAAGGCAAGCCGGAGAGTAAGGAACGGTGACTTCTCCCTGGAGCACTCGGGATGATGGTAGCCCGCGGGGTCGCTAATGCCCGTCACCTCGCCTCAAGTCGCCTGCGGCTTTATTATTATTATTATACCAGCGCGTGGCGCCCCAAATTGTATACAAGTTAATCCTTATTTCTTAAACGGTTTCTGTAAATTTAGGACTGGTAAAAAAGGAAAATCTACCTCGTGTGTTCATAAGTTTTGAGACAAATTAAAAGTTGCATATCTTTTTAAATAATAAACTTATATTTATAAAAACAATAACAAACATTAAGTAGATAGTAAGTAAAAATTAAATATAATTATTATTCAAAATGACCACCCCTGTTTTTAATACATGCCCTTAGACGATTTGGCCAGTCATCAATGGCGGCACGAATCTTTTCCAGAGGAATTCGCTTCGCTTCTCGGACAAGAGCTCGCTTAAGTGACTCCAAGTTTGGGTGGGACTTTCGGCAGGCTCTGAGCTCTAATTCGGTCCATAGAGAATAATCCAGCGGGTTGAGGTCGGGGCTGGAGAGGGCCATTCGTTCGCCGCAATGAAGGCCGGCACATTTTCCTTCAGCCAAGCTTGGTGGTTTTAGTTAGCCTTATGGGATGGCGCCGAGTCTTGCTGGAAAACCCAATACTTGTTATGGAATAGGGTATTAGACAGGGGTTTCACAACATCTCTAGAATGTCACTTTGATAATTTTTGGCTTTCACCTTGACGCCTTGTTGGCAGAAATGAAGCTGAGTGACACCTTCGTACGAAACTCCCCACCATACCATGACACTAGCCGGATGATGAGTATGCGAGACATTCCGTGCTGAAGGTGGGACATTCTTGCTACTTTTGGCATACACTTTATTGTTTTGTCGATTGAACTTTTCTTCGACGGTAAAGATTTTCTCGTCGGTGAAGAGTATCTTCCTCGCATCGTGTCTCCTAAGCAGTATTGGACAACGTTCGCGTCGCAATTGACGAAGGCGATCGTTTAAAAAGTGTACTTTTCTACGGCTATACGCCTTAACCTTGAGATCATATTTCAGTATTCTGTTGACTGAAACGCGCTAAATATTGGTCTGCAGAGCGAGTTTCTTCTGAGTGCGACATGGATTTCGGCGAAGTCGCTCTCGGATGATTTTAATGTTCGCAAGCGTCCTCACAGAGCGTGGACCACTACTTCTTTGCCGATCATGTAAAGAACTTGTCTCCTGGTATCGTTTAATAGTGTAGTACACGAAGTTACGGCTCACACCAAAACTTTTCAGTTCTCGGAAAATGCCCATAGGTTTTCTTCCCACCTTAAATAATGAAATGACGGTCGCACGTAATTCTTTTGTTCCCTCCATTACGAGAAAATTTAAATAAAATAATCCGAAATCATAGGTATTAAAAGTTAACATTCCAAATTCAAAATTAGAAAAAGAAATATACAGCAGCCAGTAATTTTTATTTTATTTTTATAAGCAAAAAAAAGTTTGTCTCAAAACTTATGAACACACGAGGTACTACTCACCACCCACTCCTGGTTGATGGCGCTCCCAATCCGATAGAAAAATCCGTCTGAGCTTATTTTTGGTGCCTTATACCGGTCAATGGCGCCCTAAATTTGAAGTCTATCGAGCGTCCTCGAAAACCATCGTGCGTCTTTGATCAGTTTCGAGAGTTATTTGACCTCGAAATCTATCGAGTATCCTCGAAATCTATCGAGCGTTCTCGAAAACTATCGAGCGTCCTCGAAAACTACCGAGCGTCCTCAATCACTTTCAAGCGTCCTCGAAAACTATCGAGCGTCCTCGATCACTTTCGAGCGTCCTCGAAATCTATCGAGAGTCCTCAATTACTTTCGAGCGTCCTCGAAATCTATTGAGCGTCCTCGAAAACTATCGAGAGTCCTCGATTACTTTCGAGAGTTACTCGAAATCTATCGAGTGCCCTCGATCACTTTCGAGAGTCCTCGAAAACTATCGAGCATCCTCGAAAACTATCGAGCATCCTCGAAATCTATCGAGCGTCCTCGAAAATTATCGAGCGTCCTCGAAATCTATCGAGCATCATCGAAAATAATCGAGGATCCTCGAAAACTATCGAGCATCCTCGAAAACTATCGAGCGTCCTCGATTACTTTCGAGCGTCCTCGAAAGCTATCGAGCGTCCTCGAAAACTATCGAGCGTTCTCGAAATCTATCGAGCGTCCTTGAAAATTATCGAGCGTGCTCGAAAACAATCGAGAGTCCTCGAAAACTATCGAGCATCCTCGAAAACTATCGAGCATCCTCGAAAACTATCGAGCATCCTCGAAAACTATCGAGCGTCCTCGAAATCTATCGAGCGTCCTCGATCACTTTTGAGCGTCCTCGAAAACTATCGAGAGTCCTCGATTACTTTCGAGAGTTACTCGAAATCTATCGAGTGCCCTCGATCACTTTCGAGAGTCCTCGAAAACTATCGAGCATCCTCGAAATCTATCGAGCGTCCTCGAAAATTATCGAGCGTGCTCGAAAACAATCGAGCGTCCTCGAAATCTATCGAGCGTCCTCGAAAACTATCGAGCATCCTCGAATTCTATCGAGCGTCCTCGAAAACTATCGAGCGTCCTCGAAAACTATCGAGCGTGCTAGAAAACAATCGAGAGTCCTCGAAAACTATCGAGCATCCTCGAAATCTATCGAGCGTCCTCGAAAATTATCGAGCGTCCTCGAAATCTATCGAGCGTCCTCGAAATCTATCGAGAGTCCTCAATTACTTTCGAGCGTCCTCGAAAACTATCGAGCGTTCTCGAAATCTATCGAGCGTCCTCGAAAACTATTGAGCGTGCCCGAAATCTATCGAGCGTCCTCGATAACTTTCGAGCGTCCTCGAAAACTATCAAGCGTCCTCGAAATCTATCGAGCGTCCTCGAAACCTATCGAGCGTCCTCGATAGTTTTCGAGCGTCCTCGATCACTTTCGAGCGTCCTCGAAATCTATCGAGCGTCCTCGAAAATTATCGAGCATCCTCAAAATCTATCGAGCGTCCTCGAAAACTATCGAGCGTCCTTGATCACTTCCGAGCGTCCTCGAAAACTATCGAGCATCCTCGATCACTTTCGAGCGTCCTCGAAAGATATCGAGCGTCCTCGAAATCTATCGAGAGTCCTCAATTACTTTCGAGCGTCCTCGAAAACTATCGAGCGTTCTCGAAATCTATCGAGCGTCCTCGAAAACTATTGAGCGTGCCCGAAAACAATCGAGAGTCCTCGAAAACTATCGAGCATCCTCGAAATCTATCGAGCGTCCTCGAAAATTATCGAGCGTCCTCGAAATCTATCGAGCGTCCTCGAAAACTATCGAGCGTCCTTGATCACTTCCGAGCGTCCTCGAAAACTATCGAGCATCCTCGATCACTTTCGAGCGTCCTCGAAAGATATCGAGCGTCCTCGAAATCTATCGAGAGTCCTCAATTACTTTCGAGCGTCCTCGAAAACTATCGAGCGTTCTCGAAATCTATCGAGCGTCCTCGAAAACTATTGAGCGTGCCCGAAATCTATCGAGCGTCCTCGATAACTTTCGAGCGTCCTCGAAAACTATCAAGCGTCCTCGAAATCTATCGAGCGTCCTCGAAAACGATCGAGCGTGCTCGAAAACAATTGATAATCCTCGAAACGGCACAACGCGTACTAAACTTAAAGGTTAAAGCGCAAGGGCAAAATATGCGGGTGGAACCACCACAGATGGGGCCCAATAGGGCCGATGCCGATTCGGCGTCGCAGAGTACCTAACGGGTAACCGGGGCTCCGGCTCGACGTGCAGGAGAAGGAACGGGTTGGTTTTTAGTCAGTTGGAGTCTGACACTCCCTCCCGCCTCACCCAGGCGGGAGCAGCCATTCGATGATTTTCCCCCCTTAAAAAAAAAAATGGGCAAATGCGGGTGTACGGGAGGTGGGGCGAAAGGGGCGCGCGAGCGTGACGCGTCTCGCGTGAGCCAAGCGCCTGTTACTTGTTTGCTGCTTTCTATCTATAAAACTTTATCCAACAGAGAATGGCTGGACCTAGTTACAACTACAAAGTTCATCATTTCATCATCATCGCCATTGCAATTAGCTCGTACAAGGTTTAACCAAGAGTAAGTGGCTACACCTAGTTCTAAGCGGCTAAAACCAATTTTGACGGGACTTTTATTGGTAGTTAGCTGATGTATGCACTACGGAGTAACATAGGCTACTTTGATTTTAGAAAGTTGAAGAAAATAAATAGTTATGTGCAAAATATAATATTATTCATATTCTACGCGGACGAAGTCGCGGGCAACAGCTTGTTTTAGATAAAACTGTAAACAATATTATAATATAGTCAGCTGTGTTATGTTTAGAAAACAAACGACTTATTTGTTACTAACTCAATTACTCAGCAAAAAAGTTTGAAAGTATTTTTAGGTAATGAAATGTTTTTTTTTACAATTTAATCTACGTATTTGTACGCTCGTAAGTACGTGCCGATAAAATACACATTAACTTGATAATTAGGTGGTTAATTATCTTTTAAATAAGAATATGTATCTAGAATATCTCGAAATGAAATTCGAACGACATATACATATAATTATTATTGGTTCTATGTACTTTTTCATTTAGAAACATGATGTATCTATTTATTACCATTGTTTTACCTAGGATATTAAAGTATAATCGTACGAAGAGACTGCCTCGTTGGCCGAGTGGTCGCGAGTGCGACTGCCGGGCAAGGAGTCTCGGGTTCGATTCCCGGGTCGGGAAAAGTAATACTGGGTTTAAAAAAATGTCAATAGTAGCCCGGAGTCTGGAATTGTGCCCGGTATATAGCAATAGGCTCACCCCCTATTACATGGGACTCATAACATAAATAGTGAAAAGTGGGTGTTACATTGCACCTCTGCCTACCCCTTCGGAGATAAAAGGCGGAATGTTATGATGTTATGTATCATACGCAGTTTCATCGTAATCAGACCGGCAGTTTTTGCGTGATGCGTAAACATACAGACAGACAGACAAAAATATTTTTAATCACATTTTTGAGTTCAGTGTACAGAATTTAGACTTTTACAGTTTTATTACATGAATAGATAATACCGTTTCGTAGTTTTATTAAAATCGCATTGTAATTGAGCCATTGAGCATTGTTTCGAATCTATTTAACAATAGAAACACTTAATCACCTTGCACTACAGTACCTATTATTTAAGTATTTATCTCAGCAGTACTTAATGGTAATTTGTAATTAATATGTATAATTTCTAGATAAATTAAGTAAGCTAAAGGTCTCGCTAACGATTACATTTACTTGTTATAGTTAACTAAGTATCAGATAATGAATTCAGTGATTATCATCATTAGTTGAGAGCAGAATTGAATGCATTTATCAGCATCCTTTTATTTCCTACTCCTTTCGCGAGTGTCATACTAAAGCATCGACAAGGAGACATTTGACAGAGAATGGGCAAATACACAAAGACAAAGACTGCCTCATTGGCCGAGTGCCGAGTGGTCGCAAGTGCTACTACCGGCCAAGGGGTCTCAGGTTCGATTCCCGGGTCAGGCAAAGTACTACTGGGTTTCTCAAAAAATTCACAGTAGTAGCACGGAGTCTGGAAATGTGCCGGGTATATAGCAATAGGCTCACCCCCTATTACATGGGACTCATAACATAAATAGTGAAAAGTGGGTGTTATATTGTACAGTGGCATAATGTACACCTCTGCCTACCCCTTCGGGGATAAAAGACGTGATGTTATGTTATGTAATGGGCAAATACACTTTTTTATTGAATAAGCTGGTAAATGAGCAAATGGATTACCTGATGGTAAGCTATCGGCGAAGCCCATGGACACCAGAAACAGCAGAGGACACCCGAAACAAGTACAATTCCGGCCTTTGGGGACTAGGGATTTTGGGAAACATACGGTTTCCCGGATTGGGGAGATTGGGAAGGGCGGGAGGGTATAATTGGTACTCCGGTGGCATCACTCCGGACAAGCCGGCTCATTCGTACCGAAGCATAGCTCTCCCACACTCCTATAAAGGAGTGTTATAGTAAAACATTCAAGATTGCCAACTCTCTTACCCAGAATAGAGCTTATGATAAACCTTTCCAGACCTAGAACTTTTCCTTTCCATCATCGTATCACAAGACAATCGGCGAAGCGTCACCGATTTATGGTAGATGTCCCACCCACACACACGAAGCGCTTCGCATCAAGCTTCCTTGTGCTGCTAAGGAGTGGAATTCTTTGCCAGAGTCTGTATTTCCTGAAAGGTATAAGTATACATATATTCCACGCGGACGAAGTCCATGACTTCACAGCACAGCTAGAATATAAATATACCTACATACGTATATGAATATATCCTATCATTCAACAAGATGAACAATTATAAGGGATGTTCAGAAACTGCCATCTTCCCACTAATGTACTCAACTCACGTGCCCTCCTAATCCTTAACTCAACCGGACCTAACCGAATTTTGTCCACTGCGCCCTTTAAACTTTTCTTTTATCTACTTACAGGTATAGTCGCCACATCATTTCCCTGGGGTTTTCTGGTAGATACCAAAGGTCGTAAGAAGATGGTAATACTCGCCTCCTTAACTGCTGGATTCTTCGGCATATTAGCTGGTTTCATGCCAGATCTAATCACTTTTGCAATCTGCAAATTCCTCACTGCACTTTGGTAAGTTTCCGTAACTAGATGAATCAATTTCATGTAAGTAATAAGTATACTAGAATTCACGTGAGAACAATTGATGAAAAAAAAGAAATCTATACGTTGTTGCAATTGTAATTAAAATCAAATTTCAAAATTTGGATTATGTTATGTTATCCAAAATGACAAAATTATATACGAAATGCAACGTTACGAAAACAATTCTTCTGGTCAAGACTTTTTAACTCTTCTAGACTATATCCTACAACAACCCAATTATTCCATTTGCCATTTTCCGATAAGACATAGATAGAATATCTAAGAAATAATTGCAACAGAAGAACAGTTACATACAAACAACTAACTAGATACTCAGTTAATAAGATACATAACATAACTATTTATTACAATGTAGAACCAATAAAAACTACATTTTTCCAAGTGTCTATGTTATTATTTCCACCTTAACATGTAAATTACTGTTGGTCAGCATAGCCTGCCCGGCGGCAGTGCCCTACACGTTCATCGGTGAGATCCTCCCTGCCAAGAACCGGGATGTCATCCTATCCATCACTAATTCTCTACAGATTAGCGGATCAGCTTTAGTACCATGTAAGTATTGAAACTTTAAACAATACCTAACTTAATAGTTAATTACAAAGAGGTTGTCTTATTTAATAGATCCTTTTTAGTCTTCCACTGATAACCGTAAGCCTCTTCCATGGCACACTGTTCGCATCAAACTACACCTAGCCACCTTCCTAAGCTCGTCCGTCACTAGGGCAGGTGGGCGTCCTACGTTAGGTACGCTAAATTTATTGCTACACAGTCTTCAGTCTACCTTTTGTAAATAAGCTTTATAACAAAACGACAAGGAAAAACATTACTTACTAGCGGCCCGGTACGTGCTTCGCTACGTATAAAGTGAAATAAAATAAACAAATCGGAACATCAAATTCATTTATTTAATCAAAAAAATATTTTATTTAAAATCGAAATCAATTGCTAGCTATTTACAACACACTTAATCCAAAACATTTGGATAAACAATATTTTTTGTTTTTCCATTTTGAGCATAAATAAACAAACGGCTGGGGGTACCGACTCTGGAACAGGCAACATATAACTGGCCATGTGAAAAACAATGTTCCTCCAAATTCACACCACAAACGTGAAGTGTTTGACCTTGGGCCTTGTTGATGGACATCGCAAATGATAAACGCACAGGATATTGTAAACGTTTGAACTCAAAAGGCATATCAGTTGGAATCATAGGTATACGCGGTATCAAAACAACTTCTCCTTTTGATTTACCAGTTAAGATCGTAGCTTCAATCAAATTTGGCAATAACTTTTTCACTGCCAATCTGGTTCCGTTACACAGTTTTGGTGGATTAATATTTCGCAATAATATAATCGAAGAACCAACTTTCAGATTCAAGCAATGCGGTGGCATACCAGCCGGCTCCAATGAATTTAAAAATTCAATTGGATAATTCATTGCCTCATCTTGATTCATAACACTGTCAATTGATTTATATTTCGTGACTACGCCTGGCAGTTTCGCTTGAATTTGAAAATTAATTGCATTGACATGAATGTTTTTCGGTGCTAAAATGGCGCGTTCTGTCAACTAATCATGATTTCTGTAATTCTGAACAATATTCGGAAAAACACATTCAATCAATTCATCTATCGATTGCGCAATTGTACAAAAATTGTTCGGTACAGCGATCAATCCGTTGGTTCTGTCGATTTGTATTTTGCCGTCACCAATTTCTAACAATTGTTTTGAGAACTCATGGGCAGCTGGATCATTATGTAGGTGAACACGCATATTAATGTTTAGTGTCAATTTTTGTAGATATCTCCAAAGAACTGATGACTTCAAGCAGGCATTTATTTCATCAGCAGGAGTTGATCGAGGAATGACAGGCAATGTTTGACGAAAATCCCCTGAAAGTAATATCAAAGCCACCAAAAAGCTGTTGATTACCACGTAAATCTTGCATTGTTCGATTGAATGCTTCTAGTGATTTTTTATTCGCCATTGTACACTCATCCCATAAAATAATTGACGTTAATCGCAGAACTTTTGCCATAGCAGAATTTCTCGATATATTGCAAGTTTAAATCGCCTTGCATGCTCTCCAAAAGGTGTTCTATCAGCTCTTATTACGATTTTGTGATTATCAGTTGGCATACGATCGAGAGCAATTTTAAACAATTGAACTAATGCGTTATGCTGATGGAAAAACCTTTGTAGCTCACGAATAATTTCTCGTCTTGTATTCGAAACAATTGCACAACGTTGATCCAATTCACGATTTTCATCACCAATAAAATAAATTTGCAAAAATTGATGATCAGCGTCGGGGTATGGCAATAACGAACCAGCTTGATGATAAATCTGGCCCTGAATCTGTAACATGTATACAATTTTAGGTAAATCTTATATCAGTTTTTTTTTTAAATATACTTTATGCTTCAGATTGATACAAACATGGAATAATCCTGTTGAAGTATTTACCTTAAACGTCGGCATAAAATTATCTCTAATAATTTTAGTTGCACCAAAAGAAGTCATTTGAAATGCCGAATTGTATTGTTGAATATGACTCAGAAAGTGCTTCGACGCTTGCGATGTCCCAAAAATAAATGAATACAATGGTTCGGGTGGAGTTTCTAATGCTGGCAATCTCACTTTGCCATTAGCACAACACATGCCGGGCGTTTCACCTGGAAAGTTAGCCGCATCACAATGTGGACATATTGCGTCCATCATTCCAATGTATCCATACATACTATAATCAATCTGACTGTTGTAATTAAAAGCAGCACGCATCATTTCAGCCAAAACAGCACGACGTATTCGTGATGGCCGTGCAAGATTCAGTACAGGTACTGGGTTAACAAATCCATTGCGTGCATTACGTTCACGCTGCGATGCATTAGCTTGTGCGCGTTCATCTGCAGTCTGTGATCGTCTTAGTAATGCCACATCATTTGCATTACGCGTTCGCCGACCTATATTTGCTCGTCGGGCTGGTGGCATTTTTCCCGTATGCACATATGTTTTCGCTTAAAAATCGAAAAAAAAAATTAGAACAAAAAAAAAACAAATTCCCAAGAAGCTGTCGCATATGATGCTATGTGAAATCATATACGGCAACTTAGAAAAGTACACATAAATTCAGGACTCACCGTTTGTATGAATGCACTGCAAATGCAATTATGTGAAAAGAAATTTATCGCTGATAATATGCTTTAATCAAACCACATCCAAAATGAACTGACGGCATGAATGACATAACAACGTCCTTGTCCTGTCAACAAAACTTCAAAAAAGTTTCTGTGAAAAAAGTTTCTATTGAATTCATTTATTACAAAAAATGTGACAAATGAGGAACCGCTCGACCGATTTAGTGCAAACTTCACATAAACCATCTACTAAATATGCCGACCAAATCCTAAGCATTTGGTTTGGATAGGTGAGCCCGTTCTTGAGTTATGGAATTACAACGAAAAGTGGCATTGATTTTTATATATATAGATTTAATTAATCATCAAAAGATTTAAAATCAATTGTCCTCGAAACCAAATCAAAATTGAAATTATCATTGAAATAAACAGTCATTTAAAATTATTGCATAACACAAATACAACGCCCACCCCAGAAATGGCGTTATCTCAATATTTTAATGACTATTGAAAAAATAAGTGCCAAGTAATGTAATCATGATAAAATAATGAACTTTGGATTGTCTCCATGATTTTTATAATTTATTTTCTTTTACGAGTTTTGTCAATCTCTTTATTTATCTTATCAAACTAACCAATGATTCACTGATTGTTGCCATATTGATATAACATTATTTTAAAGTAAAAATTTTAAGATAGACCAGCGTTTATCGCCAGTGGCGCCACTTAAACATCACGTTTAACTCATTTCCTTAAACAAGATCGCACGTTTCACTGATAGAAACTACAAGAAGATCGTTTTTTTTTAAGATTTAAATCTGCCGGAGTCGCGGGTATTTCGATCATAGTATTATACATAGGTAGATTTGGACGCCCCCGGCACTGAACTAGAGTTGAAACAGGATGGACAACACTTCCTCCAGCCTCATTTTAGGAGGAATCATTTGATGAATACTCCCACACAAAAAGGGAATACTTGGAAGTAATTTGGCAAAGTTTAATAAAATGTTTTATTTTCCAGTACTAGCATGGGCAATACTGCCTTTGGACTTCCGGATAGACTTCGGATTATATCTCTTTAGACCATGGAGGCTTCTAACAATCATATACGCAGCCTTCTATATCTTAGCGGCAGTTTTACTACTTTTTGGTCCAGAGAGTCCAAAATACTTAGTATCTCAGGGCAAAATGGATGAAGCACTCAAAATTCTGCAAGTTATGTATGCAAGGAACAAAAAGAAATCCCCTGAAGATTATCCGGTAATTATCCGTCTTATTTTATAAACACCGTCAGAAAATTATAGAATATCACCTACTAATGCTAGTTAACTATGAGTTAACTAGCAATGAAGTATTATAAGTAGGTTTTTTATTCATATGTTTCAGATTAAACGACTGATTGCTCCTCCTCGCGACACCGAAAAGAAAAGTTTCCTGACATCGCTAAAAGTACAAAGCGTACCGTTATTCAAACCGCCATATTTGAAATGGTTTGCGCTAAACGGATTCCTTATGTTTGGAATCTTCTCAGTGTAAGTTTACAAATACTTACTTGTATACTCTTACTAGCTTTTACCAGCGGTCCCATAGAATAAAAAGATAAAATGACTGATATAAAGATAAAATTCCAGACTATAATGTACCCCTGTTCCAAATTTAAACCCGATATTTTCAGCTGCTTGTCTTCATCCATATAATTTAGTTTTCTATTCTACAAGTAGACAAGCGCTAAAGTGGCATTTGGCTAAAGGCACTGTTTTGACGTGATTGAGAAACAAACATACACACAAACTTTCGCATTTAAAATATTAGTAAGATACCTACTTTAATCTGCCTTGTAAAAATAAATTGTCGACCCAACCAAATTACCATTCACAGAAAAATAGATATGATCTTAGGATACATCTTAAATTAATGGAGTTTTTTAAAGAATAAAATAAAATTGGTACCAACTTAGACACTAAGTACTGAATTCTGTTTCAGATTAAATGGTCTATACATGTGGGTACCAGATGTCCTAAACAGGGTGCTCACTGGTGACGGCGAAGGCAAAACAGCTTGTGACGTCATTTTCGATAGACTTAATCAGGTTAGTATTTAATAAGGCGAGATACATTAAATTACCTACCTATTCGGCTCGAAGCAAAGGACCATAATAATATCACATGCGTAAAAAACTGTATTTTTCTTCTTTTTTATCCTTCGAGTTAAAAGATCCGAAAACAAGTCTTGAATTTCTCTATTGATAAAATATGTTATTATTTCGTTTCAGACGGTAGATGCAGACGCTGAATGCGTGGACACAATAGAAAATATTACTTTTGTAATAAATTCAGTGGCTAACATAAGCTGTGCCATATTATCAGTGGCTGTCAGTAGTACAGTCAAGTTTATAGGCAAGAAGAGACTTCTGATCTCATTGTTCTTCGTGATTGGAACATTCTGTGTTCTTATCAACTTTATAACTCAAGACATGATCTTTGCTGTACTTCTGTCATCTTTCCCCATCATGGGTCTCGCCTTGGGGCCAGTTAATGCGTATGCTGTGGAGTTCTTCCCTACGAATTTGAGGTAAGTTCGGTGTTCCGCAGCAAATATATAGAAAATAAATTTTGTGTACAATACATCATATACTTTTATGGACTACTTTTCAGTCAAGGCTCACAAATTTAAAGACTGTAAATAAAAATTTCAACAAAGCTGATTGGCATTTACTGGGCACATTTTTTTTGTCAATGATTAGACCAATCAAGCACGAAAGCATGCTTCAATTGAGCATTTGTCATTTAGTAGCATGCGTGTCAGAATGTTGCGCAAAATTAGCATGCTCATTTCAGCAATGTTTGCGAATCGAAAAGTGTTACATTTTATTATAATACCTAATTATCGTGAGACATACTAAATGAACTAAAAATCGCGGGTTACTCGTGTGAATATACTGACAAAAGCTCTACTAGTTTCGAACCACAGAGGGGTTCTTCCTCATAAGCAGCGTGCGCGGTCGCGGCGACTTCCTCAGTATATTCACGTGAGTAACCCGCGATTTTTAGTGTTACATTTTTGAACATGTTCAACATTACTATGCTTTTTTAGCAGCTATATAGCTATTTTAGAACATGTACCTTCGTATATCGAGAATCGAGAACTTTCATAACAATAAAATAACATTTACCTATAATGCCTACGTAATAGAAAGTATTAAGTACAGTACAAGAAGTTTTATAATTATTTTCGTCAATTACAGGGGCATGGCTATAGGCCTGACAATGATGATTGGACGTATCGGGTCTATAGTCGGCACCAACGTCGCTGGCATCCTGCTGAATGTATTTTGCGAATTGACATTCTATCTATTTGGAGGTTTATTACTGTGTAAGTATACTTTGGTTGTTTTGTTCTGTACTTAAGTCGGTATACTATAAATCAATTTACATAAACTTATGCACTAAATGACAAAATCGAGAAATATTTAAAGACACACCAAATAGCTTTGTGAGTTAGCCTTATAGCACAAATAAAACAATCGAACCGAAATCTAAGGAATCTTTGGTTCGAAGTGAAATCTTTAATTGCGTACAAACGTAAAATTATGTATCACATAAAACTTGAAATAATGATACTAACTTACTTACAAGTAAATAATTTGAATATAAGTCAAGGTTGGTTTAATTGACGCATATAAACAGCTCACGCATAAAATAAACAAGTAATAACTTTTTCCGCATAATAAATAATATAAAAAGGCACCTACCTACCTGACTTAAGTATATGTAGGTATTATGCCAATTACGTACCAGCCAACGTACTATTGATTAAAGTACACTATCACTCGACATTGTCGCGGAGAACTTAACGGGTTACCGGGGCTCCGGCTCGAAGTGCAGGAGAAGGAACGGGGTGGTTATTAGTCAGTAGGTACCTAAGAGTCTCAAACTCCCTCCCGCCTCACCCAGGCGGCAGTAATTCGATGATATTCACCCCTTAAAAAAAACCACTCGACACTGGCAGTATAGTCGACAACATCGTATTGGAGACTCGGTTGCCAATAAAAAAAAGAACACTATACATTTCTGTTTGTATACAGTTTATAACCTACCTATTAATTTTCTTTCAGTTTGTGGCGTACTCTCGTTCGTGCTACCAAGTTCTCAAAGCCCACCAACAAATAAGAAAGTTCAAGAAATAGAAGATACCAGACTGTGAAACTAGTTATGAAATTAATGCATTTCACAATAAATTAAGATTTTTACATTTTTTGTCTATTATTACAAATAATTTCTATAGTTACTATAGTTAGTTGTACCTCAGCAGTACTTACGTCCTTTTATATTACCTACCTACATAAAATATTCAATAACCACTTAGTGCACTATATTTTTTTGGGATAAGCCGGTAAACAAGCATACGGATCACCTGAGAGCTTGAGCTTACTCTTGAATCCAATTCCGATCGACCGACATTGGTATTGTGAAATTTCGTACTCTTGAGTTGCAACACTAGCGCTCATTGTATCCGTATTACGTGGATATTGAATGAACTAAATGGTATTTTGTTTGGCTTTATATTTCGTACTCTGAGTGCTATTTCAATAGCTACGATAGGGGTTGTATAGTTTTGACATTGAATCATTATTGAGATTTTATTGGATTGAAATTGCATTGACATTGAGATTGGTTTCAAGAGTAAGCACCCTGATGGCAATCGACGTCACCCATAGAAACCTGAAGCACCAGAGGCGTTACAAGTGCGTAACTGGCCATGGAAATTGGGAATTTGATGATTGTGGGGGATTCGAGGATTGGGAAGACTAGTAAGGGGGGGTTATTGGGCCTCCGGTAACCTCTCTCTCATACGACAGAACACAACGCAAGCGTTGTTTCCGGTCGGTTATCTGTGAGGCCGTATAGAAAGGGCTATGCTCGGTCGGTCGTTTCTTTCTCGTCGTTGACATACCTACAGATTAATAAGCTGAAGAGGGTGTGGGACATGGTATGGAATACGCAGCTCGGAGAAACGACAGTAAAAAGTTTCCGAAAGGAGGTCACGCGCCTAGTAGCAAGCTCAAGGTCGTCTGCCCACAAGGTTGACTGAGTGGACGTCCCAACGAGCCTCAAGATGCAGGTTGCTTCCAACAAGCTGATCTTAAATTCATCGAAGAATGTCTATAACGTAATGCCAGTTGTGGAGTTATCAGTAGAACCTTTGCTTAGCATTTAAGAGATTAATATTTAACAACCATTCAATTGGGTTCTTTTTCTAGTCGGCTTCATTCAGATTTAATGCGAAGCCTAAAAAGATATCATAATCTCTTATCTTATACTTATCATATAAAACTAGAGAGTTTGTTTGTTTACACGCACTTATCTCCGGAACTACTGTAACTGGGTAGTGTAATCACTGGGAAGGATAAAAGCTATAAAACATCACGGTTCGAACGAAAGTGGGTGAAACCGCGCAAGAGTAGCTAGTCTGTTTTGAAGTCGGACCAAAAACACCATCATGATATCAGTAACTTTAAATTGTAATTTATAATAGAGAAATTAATAATGAACAAGAAATTCTTGTTGCACTAGAAACAAAGAAAAAGCTTTTCAAAAATCTATGGCTAGGAAAAATAAATGACAAATATGACAACTGAGAACTGTCAAATGTCAATGTCAAACTATCAAAATATTTTCAATTTAGTTTGTATTCAATAAAATACGGCTGTTCTACGAGTAACTTAATGTTAAACGCTTTATATTCGTAATAAATAAATTAAAATGCATCACATAGAGTCTGACAGTGAAGATGAATTACCTTCGGGGTGGGAACAGAAATCAACTGAAGATGGAAACGTTTATTTTATAAAGTAAGTCGCTAATTGGACAACCCAATAGGTTATATCACGATTTTATCTTATAACTTAACAAAAAATATTTTGAACTTTGTACTCTAGTACTTTGAACAATAAGACGCAATGGACACATCCAAGGACAGGCCGAAAGAAAGAGATACCTAAGGAGCTTCCTTATGGCTGGACAAAAACATTTGACGAGGAGGACAAAGTGGTCTATGTACAAAAAGAAACTGGCACTAAAACTTATGTGGACCCCAGGCTAGCTTTTGCCACAGACGCTAAAGAACATGTTCATGACTTTCGTCAAAGATTTGATGCTTCATCCACCGCCTACCAGGTCAGTTTAAAAAATATTCTCTCTGAGTCTAACCACAATTTTCTGAATTATTAATACTGTTTATTATTCATAGTATGTAGTTTAATAATTAATCTTAATTGTCTACTTTTAGATGATTTTTAAAGTATTACTTTAAAACCTGCTATTATTAATGTTTTCCAGATACTGCATGGAGTAGACTTATCGGGCAAATATGCTTTGATAACTGGTTCCAATGCAGGCATTGGGTTTGAGACTGCCAAGTCTCTGGCAAGACATGGCTGTAGTGTCATATTTGCTAATAGGAATATGGAATCGACAAAAGAAGCTATTCAAAAAATACTGCAGGAAACGAAAGCATCGGAAGATGACTTGAAAGCTGTGCATTTAGATCTGTGCTCCTTTGAAAGTGTTAGGAAGTGTGCAGCTGCAGTAAAATCTATGTTTTCTGAGTAGGTATATTTATATCAATTTGTAAGTTTTCTAAGAGTCTAAAAAAATATATTGTCCTTATAAATATATTGCTTTTATATGTTGTGTGGTCAAATTATATTTGTCTAATTGTCACCAACCTTGAAATTATATATGTGCAAGATTTAGTTGTATAAATTGTTAAACTTAAAATTCAACAACATAGATAATAATTGACTATAGAACCAGTTTAATAATTTGGAAATAACTTCTCTACCAGCCTCTCAAATTGCAAATGTGTCATCATTTTGTTTTTTTATAATAATTGTTATAACAGTAACTCCATTGATAAGTTGCTATAATAATAATGATTTTATCACACAGGCATAATGGTAGTAAGTAGCTGATTTTGTCTATGACAGCTTTGTTAATAACTTGGTACACTACCTACCATAGGACTCACAACATGACAAGAGAAAATTTGATATGGCATATTAATATGTGCACTTTTTCTTACCACTCCAAATGATAAATGACATGGTATTTAATTTCATTACATTTATTTTCAGCCGCCTAGACATGTTGATCCTAAATGCTGGTATTTTTGGAGTGCCATACACAGAAACAGTGGATAAAATTGAGATGACCTGCCAAGTTAACCATCTAAGTCATTTGTACTTGGCCATTTTGTTGGAACCTCTGCTGAAGAAAGGCTCACGGGTTATATTCGTCTCTTCAGAGTCACATAGGTATTTTAATATTTGGTTTATAATGGTAATGTAAGAATATGGCTGGATAAGAATCTATATTCCTATAATTCATTATTAAACACCATTGTGTTTCCAGCGTAACAACCATTGTGAGAATTACAGGACAATTTATAGCTAAACTATTTAAATATTTATATTATCAAGTCATTGTTCTGTCATCCACACATACATAATTATTAAAGTATGATCAATGCATAGCTTACATTAGTAAAATGTATTTAACATAGTGTTATATTGTAATATTATTTAATTTTCAGGTTTGCAAGTCTTAAGAATGTCTTCAATCTGCAAAATCTTGCATTTCCAAGAGAATCCTATAGCTCCATGATGGCATATAACAACTCTAAATTGTATAATGTTATAAGTGCAAAGGTAACTATGAAACAGAATGCCATTCAAGATAATAGAATAGTACTATATATCAGTGTTATAATTATACAAAGCATTAGGTATAATATTAAAGTTCTTGTGTAAGCTATATATTTATACTAGGATTAAGGATTGTCCCTGTATTTGTCCAATTATTCTATAAGTACCTAATACTTATAGAATAACTAGCATTTACCCGCGGCTTCGCTCGCGTCACAAAAGGATAAAAAGTAGCCTGTGTCACATATACAAATACACACAGCGCCATCTATACCAATACTATTGTTTTCCCTCGGGAATATCAATTTTCCGAGGTAAAAAGTACCCTATTATTTAATCCAGACTTCTAACTTTACGTCTGCAAAAATTCAAAGCAATCGGTTTAGTAGTTACAGCGTGACAAACAAACAAACTCACTTTCCAATTTATAATATTAGTAAAGATTGGCAAAATTATTATGTTACTATTTCTGAGAAGATACATTTAACATCAAGTTTTAAAGTTATTTTTGCTTAAATTTTCAGATATTAAGTGAAGAATGGAAGAAGAAAGATATATATGTGAACTCTCTTCACCCTGGTAACATGGTGTTCACCAACTTAAGCAAGTCATGGTGGCTGTTCAGATTAGCATTTGCACTAGTTAGACCTTTCACTAAATCTTTGGTAAGTAAGGTATCAAATAAAAGTAAAAAATATGGAATTAGAAATCAGTGGGTAGGGTATGTAACATAATCACTAAAAGAAATTATAGTACAAATAATCATATTTTTAATTGAATTTATTAATTAAGAGATTTAATAATCTTAGTGGTAGCACAAAGTCTAGAATTGTGGCAATAGGCCCACCCCCTATTACATAGGAATCATAACATAAATAGTGGAAAGTGGATGTTACATTGTACAGTGGCATTCAATGCCGCAATGTGCACCTTCGCCTATCCCTTCGGAGGAAAAAGTCGTGATGTTATGTTATGTTTAGATTTAATCTTTATAGCATAGCTATATATTCCCATTTGAAACTACAGCATCTACATTTATTACTTATTCTATGATGATTGTAATATAATTTTCTCAATTACCAATGTAATGTTACAGCAACAAGCAGCTGCGACAACAGTGTACGCCGCAACAGCCCCAGAGCTACAAGGTGTAACCGGCCTTTACTTCAACAACTGTTTCTACTGTGAGGAGTCGGCAATGGCACGCGACAAAAACATTGCTCATGAAGTATTCGCTCTATCTCTTAAAATGATCGCAGATCGCGTTGGCACTGAAGATCTGAAAAAATACATGAACAAATTCAATACAACACAATCGCTTAACAAAGAAGAAATTGCGAATGGAGATAAAAAATCTGATAAAAAGGAATAAATGTAATTTGTATGGGCTATGGGCTTAAAAATCTTCATTGGATATTGGTATAATGTAATGTAACAAAAAATCCCAACTTTCCTGAACTGGACTGGGTTATTTTTATTACATAACACATTTTTAACGGTTATTTGTATTAGTTATTAATATATATATTGGGTAAGGGATAAATGGGGAATTTCTATGATGACCTCTCTGTTTGAAATTTGAATTTATTTGACATTATATTTTTTATGTTAACATTCCAACATGTTTATTCGTGGGTGTTCAATGTACCTGAAAAGAACACATTTGATGAAAACACATTTGACAAAATCTTCAATCAGAGTGATTGAAGATTTTGTTATTATCAGAAAAAATGTAATACAAAATATTTATGGTGTGTATAACATGTACTATATTTATTTATTTTCAGCCATGATTGTCCCACTGTACATGTTATTGCTTAAGCGTTATTCATTGTAATATATTGTAAATTTACATAAGCCCAGTGTTTGAAAATAGGCTATTATTTTATATTTTTTGTATATAAGACATGTATCTGGTATTAAATATCTGATCTACCATAAAATAGCTATGTATTTATTCAACTTTTACAATATTAATGTTGTATTACTGTTACAAAAAAACTTGAAAATATTCTCCTACTAATCAAGATAGTATTCAAATCCGAATATAAAAACTCATTATTTAAACCTATAAGTATATAAAACTTTTATAAAAACTAACTTTTCAGCCGCAGAGCAGTTTGCTATTGGATTGTTGGAAGACAATATAAATCGTGTATTCAACTAGATTAAATATTATAATTAATTAAAACAATTTGTTAATCTTGAATAAATATATGAAGCAGATATATAATTATAATCTTTTATTTTTACATAAATACATACATACGTAACTTCCCGCCTGTCTCCCATGGGGGTAGACACTGTAGACAGAGACTAGGGAACGCCAATTACTACGATGCCTACGTACCTCTTTTGCTTCATCAAAAGTCATCAATCTTTTCATGCATGCTCGTAGGTTAAGGGTACTTTTAATTTGGCCCTTTAATATATCGCCAATCTGGTTACTATATGTCCGTCTAGGGCGCCCTCTACCGACGGCCCCAATTATATCCGCTCTGTATACTTTTATTATACTTTCATCCATCCTTTCTACATGTTCAAACCAGCGTAACATTCCCTTTTCAATCCTTGTGACTACTTCATCTTTCAATTCACACTTTTCTCTAATTACACTATTTTCACTCGATCACTCAATTTTAGTGCACCCCTACTTCTCAGGGCTCTCGTTGCCACCGTATTAATCCTGCTTTCTTTCTTTCTTTCTTTTATTCTTATTATAATCATTATTCAAAATTAAATATACAGAATAGAAATAAATATATTTGAAGTTATAATTTGCAAAGTATATTTTTAATTTATTTTTTTAAAATTAATTTCTCATAAAACTTGAAATGTGCTGTGTTCGAAGAGCTAAAGTACCTATTCTACATCTAAGACCTTTTTTTATTCTATTAAACAAATATTCAAATCGAGAGTTGTCTCTTAAGATAGCGATTTTTTGGATTCAGAATAATATTTATTTAGTCAGTAAATCCTTTTTGAATATTTTTCCGAAAAACGATCATCTAGTCTCTAGATCTAGTCATCCAGATAATATATCTGGATTTTCGGATATTTATGTAGTGTCGAGAATCTGAGCCTATCAGATTATTTTTTAGTATATCTGTGGAATTTCAAGATGGCGACTTTGACATTTATATGTGTCAAGGTAAATAAATTGTCAAGAAGTATTTGGATAGCGAATTAAAATAATTATTAAATTGAGATTTAGGCAAATATTTAATGTTTTATTGTTTGTGTTTTAATTCAGTAACATTCCATTGTATGTAATTTATGCATAAAATATCATAGTTATGATAGCACTTGCTAATAGTGTATCAAAATATAGGCTCAACGATGCTCGTTCGGACGCTCCTAACGGTCGTAGAATTTCCTTTAAATCATAGAAAATGTTCCAAAAATCTAGAAAATAAGTAATGTTGTTGTTGATAATGGTTGTGTGTGTACTTAAAACTATAAAAAGTTAGTGATTGCGTTCGCCAAGATGGGGGATAAGATGAATAGAGAATACTTCGAGCCTGGGGCCACAGCCTTCAACTACAATAATGTGGTAAGTTTTATTATATTGCTTCACTTTTACTTTTCAGTACTTTGAAATTACTGGAAAACCAGTTATAATAATGTAGTTTATTAAATTCTTAAATAATATCGACATATTTATCTCCCTTTACTCCAACTATTATATGTTTAAATAATATAAATTAATTTAAAAGTGCACTATGCCTTGTACTTGTCTGAATTAACCTTGGAGTAAGTCTAAATTATTGAAACAAAGGCATTTGCTTCAGTTTGTATATGTTTTGATGTAGCTTGTTGGATGAATATATCATTTTAACAGAATACCCCCCAGTGAGATGAATGTATTTAGTTTTCTTTCCAGTGGTGGTTTCACATGAATAGAAATTTACTGTGGATAATCACATTAAATTTCTGTTTAGTGTAATGAAAAGGTTTGCTGAGATCTGAATATTATAAGATGGTTTGACCTTCCTTTATGCAACATTAAGTAACTAGATTTAACCGGATGCCAGATGATTCTAGTAATATTGTCAAGTTAGTGTGTCTTCTTTGATATGAAATCTTGTTTGCAAGGTTTCATATTATTTCTGTAGTGGCAACTAAAGTGCTTTATTCTAAGAACTTTACTTAGTCAGTAAGATAAATAGATTTTTTATTGTAGTATGGCATTTTTTTTCTCTTCTTTGGCAAACAAGTCTCCAAAACAATCTTGTCGACTATACTGCCAGTGTAGAGTGGTGACAGCAGTTTAATGAAATAGTGTGTCATATACAGACAAAATACGTAACAAATGTCTGATTTGGTTCAGAAATAGCAGAAACTAATATTCTAACAATTTTAGTTTCTTTTCTCTCTTATTATCAAGGAAATTCCTAAATTTTATCTTTAATTGTCAACAGTGCTGGTTTAATAACATGTGACTAGTAAAATTGTTGCAGTCACCTTGCAGATAATTATATTATCTTTCATTAAAATTATTGTGACAAGACTTAAGTACAGCATTTTTGATTTCTCATGCATTTACCGGTGGACCCTGAAATTCTTCCGGTAACTAGATATGATAAAATTTTGTTACTGATATAATTTTTTATCTCTCTTTATGTAGTTTTCAAATGTGTGTAAAATACAGGTGTCCTAGGAAATAAGTGTCAAGCAGAAGTCCTGAGATAGAACATCCCTTGGTGAATCCGAAACACCCCCATGTATGTTCCGAAATTTTTTGTAGTTTTCGTGTTATGAATTATTTACTTAAATTTTGAGTATAATTGCCCTAAACAACTGCCTTAAAAAGTTCTAAAAAAGAAAGTATAAGACATTTTCGACATATATTTGTTTGCAACTCGATTGTAATGAATTGTACTTTAATGCTTAAAACATTCATATTCATAACTTAGATGGAAGTTATAAAAACAGTGTATTTTATAAAATGACTTTATATCAAAACAATAAAGGTTGAAAATCTAATAAAGAATATTGACATGAAATAGCAGGCTGACCTGTTAGTCTGTCTATCAAGTTTAACTATCAGCGTATGTTTCATTTAGAAGTTAGTGCTTGTTACCTTGCACCTTGTACTTCTAAGTATTTGTCCATCTAATCAGCACTTTACCTGTTGTTTAACTCGTCGAGTACCGGTTTTATAGACACAATTAAAGAACAATAGGTCGCGGTCACCGGTGACCGCTTGGTGTTTGACAGTTTAATTGTTTGTCTTACCTGAATATAGGTAACAAAATTCAAATATTTGAACTTGAGCAGTTCAAATGTCCTCAAGCGGTCACCGGTGACCGCTCCCCAACTCCATTATTATAGACCTTATTTCCGATGTTTAGAGACTACTTTTGTATGAACTAATTTTGGGTATGATATATCAACATATTAACACAGTATGTTAATTTTTTTGTCCTTGCTACAAAGGTTTTACTTTTCCTGTTCCATTCTGTAATTTGCTATTAATTACATGTATGTTTGTATATTATTTAATTCATAGATACAAAAAATTGTTGAAGTGCACAAAAATAGCCTATGAATAATTCTTATAATTTATTTTAATGGTCTTCTGTTTAAGTGTATCACAGTACCTACTAGTAGTAAGTAATTCATGGAATTTATTATTGTTACTTACATTTTTTTTTAAATAAGTCCTATACAATTCAATAAAAAAAAAAAATTATCGGGTGCATCAATTTTTTTGTGTTACACTTGTGTGTGTGTAAATCAAATATTAAAGCATAAATATGTAGGTAGGTAATACTTATTTGTAAGATTTGATCTTAATTTGCTATGTCTAATGTAATGTGTTACTCGCACCATAAATATTACGGTTACAAGGACCTGCTCGCAACATTAAGCACGTCAAATGTATGTGGTTATTTACCAACACGTTGGATTACAAAATGCGCGAGAATATTTGAATTAAACATCTACGTAGAACTCGTTCAGAAACATAGTGCGTCTGCACCTTAAATGGTGGATTCCGCAAGATTTCGCCATGATACGGCCAACGACCAATGTATTTATGTAAAATTATTGTTGATATGCAATGTCTACTCGTTGAGATAACAGCAAAATATGAACTTATCTTCCCAGCAATCAAACGTTAGGTTCCTCAGTTTCGTTGATGATGACACGTCTCCGTGATGTTTTATCAGCACCTATTATATGCATATAAAGATGCAACACCTTGTATAGCGTAGAAAGCAATGTGAAACTACATTCGCAATTGTTTACATGTTCTGCACATGAAGTTGAAAACGTTTTGTAAACATTTTAATTAGAAATTATTGTTGTTGATTATCCAATGTTTGCACTGTGAAAGTACGTGCTGGCTGACTAGAAATGCTGATCATA